CAGAACAGCTCTCCCAGGCACAGCCTGGTTCCAGCACCAGGACATACTATCTATCCCCCCCACCTTGATCACAGCAGATGATGAAGCAGCTCCTCACAAAACTTTGCTTCTGTACCGCAATGAAGAAGGTGTGTGGTGCTTTCTCTGGCAAGTGGCAGGAGGAGGGCTTTACTTTGTCCTTGAAGTTCTGTGTCCCGCTCCTTTTTTCTCATTTCAGATGTTATAGCACCTGCCATCTTTTTTGCTGCTGCTGGATGCCCCTTGTTGCTTTTCGAGCAGGCAGTTTCTCTTGCCAGAACTATTGATCTGGGCACTTGTTAGCAGCACCAAGCCATACATAACATTTTTTAGAGGAAAATCGTTAGATCGTGACTGATTGGAGCAGTTATCCTCAGCTTAGTTTTAGCTGAGCTCAGTTCCTCCAAGCATACAAAACACTGACTGGTGATTAATGATTGGTTAAGAATCTCCCTGGGTCTCAGAATTACCCTTAAAGCATCACACAGCAGGAGATGCTGCGGGGAGTCTGTGATTAAAAAAGAAACCCACATACAATGGAGAAATGCTGGGTGATGAGCTGTCAGCCTCGCTACCTATCACCCTCTGGTACACGCTGTTCTTTGAAGAGTGTGTTACTGTTTGAATTCAAGCCTGAATTATGATAATCAGGCTGATTCCTGTTGCAGGGCAGAAGGAAGGGAGTCTGAATGGAGCTTGCAGTGCCTCTCACTGTGTGGTTTGGGTAGTAAGTCTTCATACTCTGCTGTTAGCTATTGCTCATACCTATTTTACAGCAGCACAGACTTTGCCACCCCTGCAGGTATTTTGTGGTAGATTCATTACTGGTGCTCCCTTTCCTGGTTCAGGTTTTTTTTTAGAAACATGGACCTCATTAGCTTGGAGTTTAGAAGCAGTGAGCAAAAGCTTGCACCTTTGCCAGAAAAAAAATAATTCTGTAGGAGCTGTGTCCTGTAGAGTGTGAACACTGACTAGAGAACAAGGAAATGAGCTGCTGGGTCTAGCCCTGCTTGTGGCGTACTGGTGAATTTGGCTGACCCTTTTCCATGCTTCAGATTACTTGTCTGCAAAATGGGACCAGCAGTAGCTTCCTCCTCTCTATAAAGCACACTGAGATCAACGAAAGCAAGGTGATCCAGAGGAGGTAACAATTGGAAATAAAAGAATGTTCCAGTCCATGTGGAATAAGTAACGCCTGCGTATCTTGTCTCCCTCCAGTTTATGCTTCAGAAAGTTGAAGTGGCTGATTTGATTTCTCATTTTCTTGGTACTGTCCCTTGTGGGCTTCAAATGGTCCACAGAGAAGCCAGGAATGACTTTTTAACTTTTTATTAGTGAATTAATCTTCAGCTGTATTTACATGAGTTCTATACATTGCTATTAAATTACTGTTTTTGTGTATTGCCAGTAAGGAGAAAATTGCAAGTTCTGGCACTTATCTTTGCTGTAACACAGCTGAGAGAAGATAACCACTGTAGAGTATGTCCAGTCTGTTGGGTGCTGCACTTCCATTATCTAATGAGAACCATCAGGTCCTGGTTAGCCCTTCTTTTTTAAGCCTATTTGGTAAAAAACTGGATTTGATCCATGGTATTTGTAATGGGGCAGCACTCGGGCACTTCCAAGCAAGGATCGGGCTATTGTTGTCACCTCCACTTGGCAACAGGAATCGGGATATATTTCTAGCTATGGCAGCCTACTTGCAGAAAGGGGAGCAGTGCTGAGAAATAGCTGGAAAATGGTTAAAAAGTAATAAATAGAATGTAGCAGAAAGCAGTAACTTGCCAGAGAGCTAATTGGAGCCAGCCCTGGCAGAGATGCAGGATAAAGTGGCTCTTGAAGTGTCTCTGCCCAGTGGAGTGATCTGCTGAGCTGAGGGTGTTAAGCTTCAGCATCCCTCAGTTCCCTGATGGGATAAGCCATGCTCTACTTGAGCTTCAAATGCTGACCAAAAGTGAAGGTTTTTGTGGGTATATCCATTAGCACTGAATCTGGGAGGGAAGCTGTCTGCTTGGTCAGTCATGTTTTAAAAATAATAAATAAATAAAATGAGGGGGTGCAAACACATAGGTACACACATGTATGTAAAAATATATGTGGTTTTCCTGGAAGGTGGACGTTGAAGGTTATCCTGAGAATGAAGCTTGTATGACCTTAAGGAGTATGGAGCATTTAAAGCAGACTGACTTCCCACTGGCTAGCCTGGCACACTGAACAAGTAAGGTTGCCTCACCCTTTACTTCCCCACTGCCCTGTTTCATATATCCATCTCTTTTCCATTAGGAATAGGATTTTAAGTCCCTCCCACTCTGAATAAAACTTAGCTCAATGCACAAAGCCTGTGCACACTGGAGTGTGCATTAACAGGCACATGGGTTATAGAATAAATCTCCTTCCCCTGGCTTTATTCCCAAAGGCTGAATTCCCTCCTCTCTGTGCATTTCGTCTCTCATTCCCACCATCCATCCTGCTATTTGAGGCATGTGAGAAGTTTCCACCCAGGAAGAAGAGCTCCCTAGCTGCTGAAGCTTGTCAGCTCTCCCAGGTGAGCAGGGGAGTCATGGCAGAGTGATGCAAGGTGCTCCTCTTAACCCCACAGCCCAGCCCTTGGCTGAGCTGCCAGCTTAAGAAATTAAATCCTTGCTGTGGGAATTAATGTTTTTGCCAGGATGATGATCCCAGATACTGGCAAAACCTGCTAAATATCTATTTTTGTGCTCATCCTTTCCCTCCTGATGCAGCAGAATGTCTGCAGCCACATCTTGGAGCGAACATGATGCTCTGATGAAGTTTCTGCTGTTGCTGTCTTTCTCAAGCCACAGGAATTGACAGTTATGCCCCAGGTGTAATTGTGTAAGCAGGGCTTTCCTCCGCCAGCCTTAGATTCTCTCATAATTGCTCATATTTAGGAAAAGGCATAGGAAGTCGATTTAGCACTTCATGTTGCAAATGAGTCATGCAAATTGCAGCAGAGAAAAAACAGGTAATCCCTGAGCACAGGGTAAACGTGGTCATGTGGGCAAAATAGTCACTGACAGGCAGGAGCTACAATGGAGTTCATGCTGGAGGAGGAGGAGGAGGATGTGGCTCAGTGGCATGGATGTTTGCTGGAGGAGGGGGTAGGAGATTCTGATCAGTTGTTAGGGTTTGCTCCTGATGCTCTGGGGGAGGTGGAGTGATTAGCTGGGGCACAGGCCACAGACCTGCTCTCATGCAGAGCAAAGGCTAAAAAGAATAAAGCTGTGAGGTGGTGCACACTGTTCTCTCCAAGTGCAAAATTAATTCGTAATTAAAGCATTTTGTTGCACATGCAGCTGGCATCTCACAGCAACAGACCATACTGCTTTCCCCAGTGACAAAACCTAGAAGACATGTTTGATGAGAGGGGGGCTCATGGCACTGCTCCTTGTCCTTGAAGCTGGCTGTAGGGCTAGGTCTGAAATGGTCTGTGACAGTTCTGCTTCAAAATGATTTAGTTTCCTACAGCAAAAAGTACTTGTCACGTGCTCTTAAATTGGATGCTTTCACCATCAACACTGGCTGCTAATTTCTCTGGAAGTTCCACTGGAGACTTTCCAGCCGAGGTCCCAGCTCTCCATGGCAAAAGCATTGATGGTTCCAGTGGAGCTCTGTGCTAGTTTGCAGATCTCTCTGCAGGCAGCTCAGAGCAGGATCCAGATCTTTTTACAGTTCTGTGCAAGAGCTTTAGTTTTGCTTCTAATAAGCGATGTATTACATTGCTTAATTATGCTTTCGTCTGTGTGCTTCATTAGTAACTAGAAGTATTTCAGGGTTTGGATGAGAACATTTATATACATATTAGGGGAAGCACATGTACGTATAGGTAACATATGCATCATCTATGCATCAGGGAAGAATATGAATTTGAAAGTTGGTTAAAATTTCAAATGCTTAAACTGTAGTGAAAAGGTTCACTGTCCATCACCCTTCCCTACTCCTGACAAGGGACAGGAAAATATCTGGCTGGCTTGGAGAGCCTGCCGCTACTGAAGTTGAGGCAAAAGATGCATACACAGCATGTCCTAAGTACGGAGAAGCTCAATCTTTGCCTAGGGTTGGAGAAGGAGCAAGAGTCACAGAATGGTTTGGGTTGGAAGGGACCTTAATTATCACCCAGTTCCAACCCCTTGCCAAGGGCAGGGACACCTCACACTAGGCCAGGTTTCTCCAAGCCCCATCCAACCTGGCCTTGAGCACTTTTATGGATGGGGCATAAGGAACCTATTGACTGTCCTAGGTCTCACTGATGCCCAAGATTTTGCAACATTTGCCCACTGGTGGATGTGGGCAGCTGGAAATGGAAAATGCTGTTACCTATTTGGCTTTTGGTCATGCCATGGGCTGCACTGTGGCACAAGGACCATGAAGGAGGAACAAGGCCACTTGGGAAGTCACCTGTGGAGACAGAGAAGTTCTGAAATCTGTTTCTGTGGGGTTTGTCTTCTCTGTAGAATGTCATTGCTCAGCCTTCTCCTATTTTATTTTTTCTTGCATCCTATTTTGGATCACATTGCCTTGGAGAAGTTTTGGAAATATAGAGTAGAAAAGTAAAAATAAAGAAAATACAGCATAATTCCTGCTATGATTGATGCATAGTGCTAGACCTTGGCCTTTTCTGTGCTTTTAATCCTACTGTCAGTGTCAAGTTGTGCTTAAATAGCCCCATGCTGATGCTTCCCTGGCAAATTTTCCTTGGTCAACGAACAAAAGGGAGAAGTGGGGAATAAGGTGGGAGGACAATTTATTTCACTGAAGGGCACCGTGATGCCTGTGTCCAAACGCATCTCTCAGGAGTCAGGTGCTTTGATTCAGAGCACACCAAGCTGAGATTGCCTGGGAAGGGCATGAGAAGCTGCCAACGCGCTATCAAGCCAGGGCTGCAGGAAGCGCAGGGCGCCTCTATGTGCTTTGGGGCACCTGAGCCTTCTCTCAGCGGTGTTTTAACGGTGAAGCGAGGGGGAACGGGGTGCATCTGATGCCAGGGTCTCCCCGGGCAGCGCCGCGGTCCCCGTGCCAAGGCGGGGTTGGGGGCGTGGCCTAAGGGGGCGTGTCGACGATACGGAGCGGCGATTGGCTGTCTGGCGGCGTGGCGTGGCAGGGGGCGGGGCCTGTCGGGAGTTTCCCACAATGCCCCGCTGCAGTGCGGCCGCCGATGGATGCTGCGCGGCCGCGCTGCCATTTGCAGCCGCCGCTGCTCGCAGCGCGCCCTGCGGCCCCGGGAGCGCTGTATCCCCGGCCGCCGCCCCTCAGCGCCTGCAGCCGCCGGCTGTCGCCCGCCTGCCCCCTCCACCTGCTCGGCTCCACTGCCCCACCGCAATGAACCCCCCCGCCGCAGCCGGCGGGGAGGAGACCGGGGCTGCGGGTGGCGGTGGCTGCCGTGGGGCTGAGGGTGGTGGGGACACGGCGGGTGCCGCCGGGGTCCCGGAGGAGCCGGGGCTGTCGGCAGCGGATGAGTCGCTAGAGGAGAAGCTGCGGAGCCTCACCTTCAGGAAGCAGGTGTCCTACAGGTGGGCGCCGGACGGGCGGGACCGGCTCTGGGAAGCTTGGGGGCACCTCTAGGGCACGGGATGCCTACGGGTGGAGAGGCGGAGGCAGGGTCCGCTGCTGGGCAGCGACGTGAGGACAGTACCCTGGAGGCTGGGCGAGCTTTTATCTTCATCCCAAAGCCTCAAAGAGCCCCTCAGATGGGTATTCCGTTATGCCGGTGACCTGATCCCTAGCCCCGCGGCTGCTGTCAGGTTTGCGGTGCTCCTCCGGCGCGGCAGTCAGGGGAGGTGGGGAGGGGGACGGTGTACGTGGGTGAACTTCAGAGTTACTCAGAGTCAGGGATCTTTCCCGGCTTCCAGGGCAGTAGGTTTGTCTTTACGCTTTGCCCTTTCAATAAAGCACTGGCGCCCGTGTTCCCGGCGCCTCCAAACGCTCGCAAAAGACATTGGAAAAACCTTAGTGGTGGCATTGCTGCTCCCGAAAGGTGTTTCTCTGTTGAAGGTTCCCCGGAACGCCGGTCTCCCCTCCCTGCCCGTTCCCCACCCGTGCCGGCAGCCGTTGCATAAGCCCCAGTGGCTGAGAAGATGAGTGAGCTGCTGTGCCCAGCACCTCCAAGCGTGGCTGCGGCCGAGGGCCGGCGGACGCCGGGGTGCCACATGACACGTTATAGCCAGAGCAGGGTGTACTTTCATAACCAGAATCTTGGATTTTTATGGCTGTTCACTTACCCCATATCTCTGATGTTAAATAAACGGATTTCTTCCTTCTATCACTGCCCCTGGGTGAGGGGGCTGTCGGTGGGGCTTGTCGGTTACCACTTAGGATGGGCTAATGGTCAGCATCTGCTGCAAGTAATTGCTGCCTGAGAAGCTTCGTGCCACAAAGTTAGTTTTGCCTAATTTCGGCTACTTTCTGGCTGCAAAGCCACGGTGGAGGCATCACGCCATCAGGATCTAGTAGTCTAGTGTGCTTAGCGATGAGCCCTCAACTGGGAGGATGGCAAACGCAGAGCTGCTACTTATTCTGTCTCTGCAAGGAAAGAGTGCCTGCAGCTCTTGGTAAATTTGCTGAAGAATCTCCCCTAACATGGAGGTACTTCTATTTAATGTGCTGTCCATATACGTGTGGGATAGCTTAGTAATGATTTGGGTCTCTGCACGTGGTAGGGCATAAAAATGATGTAATTAAAGCACTTCATAGCTGAAGTTTTATATAATACTTCATGCATGCGGAGAGACTTCCACACAAGGGCTGAAGGTCTCGTTGGTGAGTGTGAAGTTTGGGATGATTCATAAGAAGGTGACTGATGTGGGGAAAAAACTTACTGGACACCTAAAGAGCATTCCATCAGTCACCTCCCTCTACTTCTGCATCTCTATCCCGATCGTTTTCCTAGCACATGCCATTTAGGAGCAAGTTGTTTAGGTAGAGGCAGATTCTGTAGGTGGGCTGTGAAGAGGCTGCTAATGAGGCAGGATTCCTAATGCGTCTGCTCTTGGTACAGAAGACATGGGGTTAACAATAAATCTTGGAGGAGCTCTATTCAGGCTCTGTTTTTGTTTAGTTTTAAAAATTTCGTTAATTTTGTCATCTTCCCCTCCCCCCCCCCCAATTAATTTTTTTTTTTTTTTGGGGGGGGGGGAGAGGAGAAGGTGTTAAAATCTGTTTAAAATGTCCTGCTCTCTAGATTATCTAGAAGTGTGTTAAAAACGTCCTGAAATTTTCCGCATGGTCGCTGTAACGGTTTCATAATACAAGCTTTGTGGGAGGAAATCTAGGGGCTTTTTTCTCTTCTTTCTTTTGCCTCTCCTCAATATAGGCAAGCGTACAACAAGTCCTGAACCTTCAGATAAAAAAGGTTTTCCTAAGCATCTCTTGATGCTTATTACTCGTTCTACTTGACTTGGGATATGTGCGAGAAAGTACATTTTCTTTGCATCCTTGGATTTCTACACCTTTTCATTTGGAGCTGGTTTCCTACAAACAACGTGCACTTCCCTTTATCTGTAGCGAGAACAATCCGAGTAGATAGAAGAATAGGAAACTTTTACAAACGACCTCCGCTGAGCTCTCCACACCCTGCAACTCCCAGGCTCCTTAAATTGCTACCATTTCTGACAGTAAATTGTGATGCTGAAACACATTTGTAAATGTAAATGACTATATTATATACAGGAAAATCTGCTTATGCCAGCACTTGGACTCCCTTATCCACTGGTACAATAGCAATTATTCAAGGCTTCATACAGGCTTCAAAATAGCTCATTTAGGATTCTCTATGCAGGTGCATTACATTGAAACACACCCATATATCGGTATTTATACATGCAGAAAAAAATCCCAAACCACCACTTGGAACTTGCTTAAAATAATAAAGTTTCAGAAAAATGAGAGTTGCAAAATCTGTTGGTGGGATCTAATGGAATGAAACAGGTGGCTGAAAGAGAGGTCATGGTATTATAACAGGGGGAAAAAAGGAAGAAGAAAAAGGTTTCCTGTGCCAATTTTATGTTAATCACTCCCTATTATGAAACTGCTCTTTACCTGAGGCTGGCTTGTAGTATTATCTCTCTCCCCCTTTCTTTTTAGTGTTGCTAAACAGCAACTGCTTTCATTGTAATGCCTATCTATTTGGCTAATGAAATAGCTGTTGCATACAAATAACTTGTTAGTTTCTCTAGCATTGTACCAAAACCATGAGTAACATAGTTCAGAAAATAATGATTTATACTGATGCGGTCGGTCAGTGGTTTACAAGGTGGATGCTGGTGTATTAAATATGTAATGATTTTGTGTAGTAAATACCAATATAGGCATGTTTGTCTCCATATTGAACTACCAGGTGGAAAAACTTGCTTTAAATAGCACAGCTGTGCCTCATAGTGAGCTCATAAGCTCACTTGACCTTGCCATGTTCCCAACCATCTCCACCATGCACCTGACATCCACAAAACTCATTGTCTGTATCAGAAGCTCCTCATTCTGTTAGGAGTAGATGTTTGCTTGCTGTTTTCTTTCTAGTAATATGCTGTAATTATGAATACATACACAGTAGGGATATGCCACTTATCTGTGCTTGTGAGTGAGCTAATGGGTTTAAAGTGTGCCTGTTTCTGTGTGTGTGCATGTGCTGCCAACACGCATCCCTTAAGTGGATCTTAATTTGCAGACAGGGCGCCTGCCCTGCCTGATGTATTAGGGGGTGCTGCCACTGCTGTGGCTCAGCTGGTGGGTACCACTGATGTGGCAGGGCAGGGTGGTCTGCAATCCAAAGTGGCAATCCCTCCATGAAGGGTATCTTGCAGAGCTGGTCCCTGTATAAACTGAGCGAAAGCTCAGAGAAATGGCTCCATCTTCTTCCTCTCACACTTCAATGAGGACAACCGACTCAATAGTTGGATGCTAACAACAGAATGCCAGTAGCTAAGCAGTATTTTTTTTATACTACAAACATAGAATTAAGTATCTTGAAGATGTTTTGGCTTTTTTGCTTAAAATCTGAATGATGGGCTCACAAAATTAGAACTTATTTCCCTGTAAACGGATAGAACCAAAAGATCTGCTTCCCACCCCACTGCGAAGAAACTGGCAAATAAAAAATCATTCTTAAGAAGTGAATTAAAGATGTGCCCTTGACAAAGAGAAATTATTTCTGCAGATTGGTTCTTAGAGTATTATTTAGCCCTGGTAGACTATATTTACAAGAGACTGTGACAGAAAGCTGGTGGGTAAATTTTTCTTTCCTTTTGATTCTTTTGTCACTGCAGAGATCTGGGAGGAACTCATCGTCTCTTTTAGCAAAAATAGAGACTGAGGTAGCTTTCCCCAAATAATTCTTGAAATAAAGAGAAATTCATATTATACCAAAGAAATGCTCAATAAGAATATTACCACAATAGAAACCTAAGTCTAGAGAAAGCCTTGGCAATAAAGCTCTATCTTGCAGGTGCTTTCAGCCTGAAAAACTTATGTGAAATATCTTGTGGTTTATTTCTTTAAGTATAGGGAAATAATAATAGGTGAAAAGAAAACCCAAAACAGACCCCCAGAACTCAAACACAAAACCAAATGAAAAACAAAACAACCAACACAATCCAAAAAGCAAACAACTGAAACCATCAATAATGCAAACAATGATTTTTGTAATTTTTTTATTGATTACTATTTAGAAAGCTGGGAATCTTGATTAGTGGCACTGGAAATAAAAATGTTTTGCGTTTTAATGTCCTTCTTGAGAGGTGAAAAAAGTGGTGTTTGGCAAACATTTGTTACAAGGGAATAGTAAAAAAATCTAGAGAAATGCAGTTTCAGTTTGACCAAATGGACAAATCCTGACCAAGGCAGCGGGTGGCAGGCTTTAGGATTCTTGTTTGTACATGGCTCAGGGACTTCCAAAAGCAGGGTTGTAATGAATCCTCTCGTAATTCAGTGCCTCTAATAGGCAACAGATTGGCAGCATGGTTGTGAGGCTTTGCCTCTGGTGATGGTGGCTTGCTTGAGCAGGAAACCATGTGTTTCACTTTTAGTTATGGAGGTGGCTGGAGGCACCTATTTTCTTAACTCACCGTACCCACTGGCTGTCCGGTTCCACTCGGAAACATCTAAAATAGGCGGCTTGAGTTTCTTTGGCTGATGTTTCTCTCCAACTTGCCAAACGAATCTGTTTGGGATATGCTTTGTGTGCTTTCCAAAAATAGACCAAAATAGAAATTTTAAGGAATGGAAATATGCTCATTCTTTTTGCTTCATTTATTTACAGACATGATAATGATCATAAAATGCACATCACTTCTCAGTAAATGTTACAGACAGCATGGTAGAGGTGTCTCCTATTACTAAGACTTAATTATTTTATGAAATATGACAGCATTTGCAAGTGTACTGTGAAGCATTATAAATAATTAAAGCTGAATGACATTTCTAAAAACAAAAACACCCAACAAAAGCCTTTGATCTTTTGATTGTGTCGATTTATTTTACTTAATTTTCCTTGAATCTTAATACTTCTCATTTCTGTAAA